CATCCTGCACGGCCACGCCGGCTGCGCCCGCTGGCAGGACGGGCTCAGGCTCTGCAGGTTTGTCAAGGTACAGTTCATTGAATTTGGCAATATTCACTGCCATTTTTATGGGTTTGGGTGTTCTTTAATAGTGATCTCTCCACAGCAAATGGTACAATTAATTTTGAGCCAGTTCCTCCTGCTGGCACAATGGGCTCAGGCTCTGCAGGTTTGTCAAGGTACAGTTCAAACCTGGTTTTTGGCAATATTCACAACCATTTTTATAGTTTTGGGTGTTCTTTAACAGTGGTCTCTCCATAGCAAATGGTGCCACTCATTTCCAGCCAGCTTGTCCCACTGACCTCAGACTCTGCAGATTTGTAAAGGTACAATACATTGAATTTGGCAATATTGACAACCATTTTTATAGTTTTGGGTGTTCTTTAATAGTGATCTCTCCATAGCAAATGGTACAGTTCATTTCCAGCCAGCTCCTCCCGCTGGCAGGACGGGCTCAGGCTCTGCAGGTTTGTCAAGGTACAGTTCATTGAATTTGGCAATATTCACTGCCATTTGTATAGTTTTGGGTGTTCTTTAATAGTGATCTCTCCATATCAAAGGGTGCAGTTCATTTCCAGCCAGCTACTCCTGCTGGCAGGATGACCTCAGGCTCTGCAGGTTTGTCAAGGTACAGTTCAAACCTCATTTTTGGCAATATTCACTGCCATTTTTATAGTTTTGAGTGTTCTTCAATAGTTATCTCTCCATAGCAAATGGTACAATTAATTTTGAGCCAGCTCCTCCCGCTGGCACAATGGGCTCAGGCTCTGCAGGTTTGTCAAGGTACAATACATTGAATTTGGCAATATTCACAACCTTTTTTATAATTTTGGGTGTTCTTCCTTAGTTATCTCTCCATATCAAATGGTGCTGGGCCTCAGACTCTGCAGGTTTGTCAAGGTACAGTTCAAACCTCATTTTTGGCAATATTCACTGCCATTTTTATAGTTTTGGGTGTTCTTTAATAGTGATATCTCCATAGCAAATGGTACAGTTCATTCCCAGCCTGCTTTGTCACTCATTTTTGTCACTCGTGGAAAATGAGGTGGTTTCCTGAATTCCAGGACATCATCATTCCATAAGTTCCATGATAAATNCATCACCTCAGTGAAAAGGTTTGGGAAGGAGCAGAAAATTGTCAAAATAGGTGAGAAAAATTCAAATTGGCCTTTGGGAAGATGCTGGGAGGGAAATAAATTTATATTTAATGCAAGAGACAACATTTTGCTGAATTAATAGTGAAATTGAATTTGGGAAAAATACCTTTTATGTGGTAGAGATAGAAAGAATTTCAGTAAATTTTATTGTCATAAATTCTGTTGATTTTTCTATCATCTCCCTCCATTATATTTAATGCAAGAGACAACATTTTGCTTAATTAATAGTGAAATTGAATTGGGGAAAAAAAACCTTTTGCTTTTATATGATAGAAATAGAAACAATTTCAGTGAATTTTATTGTCATAAATTCTGTTGATTTTTCTATCATCTCCCTCCATTATATTTAATGCAAGAGACAACATTTTGCTTAATTAATAGTAAAATTGAATTTGGGAAAAATACCTTTTGCTTTTATATGATAGAGGTAGAAAGAATTTCAGTAAATTTTATCTAAATTCTGTTGATTTTTCTATCATCTCCCTCCATTATATTTAGTGCAAGAAACAACATTTTGCTTAATTAATAGGGAAATTGAATTTGGGAAAAAAACCTTTTGCTTTTATATCATAGAAGTAGAAATAATTTCAGTAAATTTTATCTAAATTCTGTTGATTTTTCTATCATCTCCCTCCATTATATTTAATGCAAGAGACAACATTTTGCTTAATTAATAGTGAAATTGAATTTGGGAAAAAAACCTTTTGCTTTTATATCATAGAGGTAGAAAGAATTTCAGTAAATTTTATTGTCATAAATTCTGTTGATTTTTCTATCATTTCCCTCCATTATATTTAATGCAAGAGACAACATTTTGCTTAATTAATAGTGAAATTGAATTTGGGAAAAATACCTTTTGTGTGGTAGAGGTAGAAAGAATTTCAGTAAATTTTATTGTCATAAATTCTGTTGATTTTGCTGTCATCTCCCTCCATTATATTTAATGCAAGAGACAACATTTTGCTTAATTAATAGGGAAATTGAATTTGGGAAAAAAACGTTTAGCTTTTATATCATAGAGGTAGAAAGAATTTCAGTAAATTTTATCTAAATTCTGTTGATTTTTCTATCATTTCCATCCAAAGCAGCTTTTAAAATGCTACAAATTTGGGGTTAAAACCTTTAAAAATCAACGAAAAAAGCTGAGTAACCACCCTGTTATAATTCCCTTTATTTTGAAGTTTCTCCTGGTAATGTTTTATGTATTTCTTTATGTTTTTATGAATTTATTATCATTTTTTGTGGGGTGTGAATGCAGGGACGATGGTGCAGAGCCTGGCCTGGAATGATGGCTGCAATATCCTGTGTGGAATTCAGGATTGCAAATTCACAGTCTGGTATTATCCCAACACTGTCTACGTGGACAAAGACCTCCTCCCAAAAACCCTCTATGAGAAAGATGCCAGGTAGGAAATCCCTTTTTAATCCAACTAGGATTTATTTTAATTATTCCTCTCGTTTCTTAGCAAAATATGCTTGGGAGGAGTAAACCTGGCCTTGCAACTGGGGAAATTCTGCTGTTTGTTGCTTGGGAAATGAGGAAAAAAGGGGTTTATAAGGAGAATTATGAAGTTTAGGGTTGAAATGATGATGCAGGGTTGGAAAGCAGAGCAGCATCTTGAGGTAAAAGCAAAATTTGTGTTTTTTCTCATAAAATTTTACCTCAGGTTTTGTGAAGAAAAACCCAGAAAATATTTGTTCCGATGGCGTCGGCTGTTAAAAACAGCAAAACGCCACGTCACAAATAATCAACCTTAAATCCTTTTGTTGTAAAAACAACTTATCAGTGGTTTCTTTTGCTTTCTGTGGGCAGTGAGTTCAGGCAGAGCCCTCGGATCGTGAGCTTTGTGGGGAGCCAGGTGACCCTCAGGAGGGCGGACGGCTCCCTGGT